GATGACAATAGATAATAAACTGCCAAGAATCAGCAGATAGGAACATATTATGTGATAGAGTAGGCAGGTAGGACAGACCATTGAAAAATAATTTTGGAAAATGTTAGTTAGATCTACTATAAAGGTTATTTCATAACTCTATAGCTACCTATTGAGTACCAATGGAACAAAATTTCAAAAGAGAAAATCTTAGGGCCAGAGATGTAGCTCAACAGTAGAGCACTGGCTTGGTATGTAAGAGGTCCTGGATTCCATCCCCAGAACTATAAAAAATATTAAATTAAATTAAGGCCAGGTACTGTGGCTCACACCTGTAATCCTAGCTACTCAGGAGGCTGAGATCTGAGGACTGCAGTTCAAAGCCAGCCCAGGAAGGAAAGTCTGAGACTCTTATCTCCAATGAACTACCAGAAAACCAGAAGTAATGCTGTGGCTTAAGTGGTAGAGGGCAAGCCTTGAGCTGAAGAGCTGAGGGACAGCACTGAGGCCCAGAGTTCAAGCCCCACAACTGAACAAAAATTAAATTAAATTAAAAACTTAAGCCATATAAACTGGATACCGGTAATACATATTTGTAAGCTATTGCTTCTAACTATTTAAGAGTCTGAGATCTGAGGATTTTGGATTAAATCCACCCCACACAGGAAATGTCCATGAGATTTTTATCTCCAATTAAGCACCAGAAAAAAATCTAGAAGTAGAGGTATGGCTCAAGCCGTAGAGCATCAGCTTTGAGTGGAAAAAGCTAAGAGACAGTAATTAGACCCTGAGTTAAAGTCCCAGTACCAGGCACAAAACAAACAAAGCAAAACAAAACTTAAGCCATAAAAACACTAGACTGACAATACACGAGACACATGAGCAACAACCACAAAACAAGGAGTTTTTTCTTTTTTGTTATTTTTGCTTTCTTTTCTTTTTATTCTGATTGCTCATTTACATGTCTTCCAGGGTGTAAGGAGAGGGCACAGAAATGGAGGGACAAAGGGTAAAAAAATGCAGCAGTGACATTCACTGGACATTATGATGAAAATGAACTTTACAACATGTGGGTGGGATGGGAAGGTAAACTGGGAGAAAGGGCAGGAAAGGGCAACATTGTCCAAAAAGAAATGTATTCTTTACCTGACTTATGTATCTGTAACCCCTCTGTACATCACCTTTATAATAACAATTTTTTTTTTTTTTTTTTTTTGTCAGTTGTGGGTCTTGAACTTGGGCATGGGCTCTGTCCCTGCGCTCTTCAGCTCAGTACTCTACCACTTGAGCCACAGCATCACTTCCGGTTTTCTGGTGGGTTTATTGGAGATAAGAGTCTCACAGACTTAGGCCTGGCGCCCGTGACTCACGCCTGTAATTCTACCTACTCAGGAGGCTGACATCTGAGGATCTCGGTTCAAAGCCAGCCTGGGCAGGAAAGACCGTGAGACTCATATTTCCAATAAACCACCAGAAAACCGGAAGTGGCACTGTGGCTCAAGTGGTAGAGAGCTCGCCTTGAGCTGAAGAGCTGAGGGACAGCACCTAGGCCCAGAGTTCAAGCCCCACGACCGGCTTTCCTGCCCAGGCTGGCTTTGAACTGTGATCCTCAGATCTCAGCCCCCTTAAGTAGCTAGGATTACAGGCATGAGACACAGGCAACAATAAAAATTTTTATTTTTATTTTTATTTTTTTTTGGCGGGGTCCGGTCGTGGGGCCTGAACTCTGGGCCTGGGCACTGTCCCTCAGCTCTTCAGCTCAAGGTTAGCGCTCTACCACTTGAGCCACAGCACCACTTCCGGCTTTTTTCTTTTTGCTTATGTGGTGCTGAGGAATCAAACCCAGGGCCTCATGCATGCAAGGCAAGTGCTCTACCACTGAGCCACCTTCCCAGCCCCAACAATAAAATTTTTTTAAAGCAACAAGAAAAACCCACTGAGGAAAAGGCCTTTATAAGTGTGACAATTTTAAAACATCACTCCAAATTCATTGACTCTCTGAATATCAAAAATGGAGTGTTCAGGTTGGGAATGTAGCTAGGTGATAGAGTCCTTGCCTATGACGTTAAACACTCTAGATTCGATCCCTAGGACTGTACATACATACATACATACATACACACACAGAAGAATAAGTTTCTTTTATTTTTAAAATTGTATTTTTTTATTATCTTTAAGTAGCCACACAAAAGGGTTACCATCAACAAATCAGTTTGTATGCAGAATGCATCTTGATCAGTGTTGCCCTTCATTTGTATCTAGACTCTGTGATTGCTTTACCAATGTTACCTACACACTAGGATGAGTAGTTTCATCCAACAAAGCTCACTGAGACAGGCTTCCTCCACTTCTGCAGCTCTGCATCTTAGAACCTTACCTGGCTTTGTGATCTGGCTCCATTCCCACTGCCTTGTGGTTCTTACACAGTGTCAGCTTTGTGCTTTGCCTTGGGGTAGGGAGAGGTGGTGAGGGGATGCAAACCCATTAACCAGTTGTGTCTGGGGCCTTGGGTGAGCAGAAGGAGCTGAGCTCTGTGAGTAACAGTGCTGAGATCCAGCTGTGCCCGAGTGCCTGCCCTGGGGATAGGAAAACACCACCTATGTTAATGTTGGATATATTTCGTAAGTTTTCCCTGCAGCCCAGATAAAGGTCAGTGTGTAAGACATTTATTAATATGTTACTTCAGGGGGACAAGGGGTAGCTGAGCTAAGCTCTGGCAAAGACCCAGATGGCCCAGGAACTTGCTGTGTGGTTGCAGTTGCTGAGGTCACCTCTCTGTGAAAATCTCAGCCCTCTACCCTGGCCCTTAGGAGACACATGGATTCTGATTTAAAAAAAAAAAAAAAAAAAAAAAGTTAGTGGAGAAGAGATCACTTTATTGTCCTCTGGGAGGAAGTAACTGAATAACCCTCAGGCAAAAGGGAGGCAAGCACACACTGGGAAGGTGGCTCAGTGGTAAAGTGTTTGCCTAGTATGCATGAAGCCCTGTGTTCGATTTCTCAGTGCCACATAAACAGAAAAGGCCGGAAGTAGCCTTGTGGTACAAGTGGTAGAGTGCTAGCCTTGAGTAAAAGAAGCTCAGGGACAATGTCCATGCCTTTAATTCAAGCCCCAGGGCTGGCAAAAAAAAAAAAAAAAGAGGAGGCAAGCAGAACTGAGGGACAGATATGGGGTCCAGCACTTGTACTGAACCGGCTTCAGCATCATTAACCACAGTGTGGTGCCCCAGGGTGCTATTTTCCCTGCATGTGTTAATAATAGTTGTTAAGCTCCAGCTGTAGTGTTGCACTGTTATAGGCACTGTGTATGATTCATCTTTCAATAAGCCAGGAAGCAGGTACTATTATAATCTCTATCTTACAAATGTGGAAACTGAAGCACACAAAAGTTTAATAATGTTTCATTAAAGCTGGGATTTAGACACAGATGGTTAGGTTCTCTGGTCTGAGCTCCCACCTTTCTCCTTTACTGCCTCGGAGCTCCAGGAGACACTATCAGAGCCCATGTAAACATTGTTTAGTTGACAAGGATAAGACTCACAATGGCGTCATTCTCAGTAGTTTCCTGAAGAAACTGGGGCTTAAGGAGATGCCATGATTTCATTGAAAGACCCCAGACTCCTGGGATACTTCCGTCAACAGGAGGGCGCCCCAGAAAACTCAGACTCCAGGCCGGGAGATGCAATAAGCAAGAGGAGTTTATTTGACGTTTGCGCAAACGGACTCTCTGTCCCGAGCAGACAGGGAGCCCCGTACCGCGGCTTACAGGCATTCTTAAAGGCAAAAACCACAAGATTAGCATATAACACCAGGTATCCCTGGGACTGGCCCATTTAAAAGTCACTATACACTCCAGCAATCATTTTTTCTATGTGGGGAAGTTTATAGCACTCTTTGTAAAACAGTTGGTTCAGGGCAAGTCTAGGGGGAGCGGTCATCCTGGAGGGGAGTTTACATAGTTACAGGCTTGTGATTGATTAACATTTGGCCTAGTTTGCTGGACTTGCCAGGTGGTCCTTATCTTGGGTCCCATTCTTGGGTCCTTATCTTGGGTCCTATTTGACCACTTGGGGAATTTACTTGTTTGTTCTTTATTTATGACCACAGACCTTGTCCCGGGCCGGCATCTAGGCTCCAAGACTCTTTACTCAATTCCTTATTTCCAGAAAATGGGGGGTTAGTGCTAGGGCGAGCAAGTTTACAAAAGCAAAACCAGCAGTTAGCAATTGTAAAATGTAACTCTAATTTTTAATTTGTCATCATCAAGGCCGGACAGCTTGGAGGTGACAGAGCTTGGATTCCCACTGTCCTGACTGTCAGCGTGGGTGTCTGCGCAGGACCTCATGCTGGGCCCTGCCTCCAGCATCAGCAGATGTCCCTTGAGCCTGGATAGCTGTGAGGTGTTAAAGTCCCCTTCACAATTGTGGTTTCATATTGGGAATTGTCCCAGGTACTAAAGGCGTCATTTCTGGATTCATACTCATTCAGTGCTGTCCAGCCTCCTGAGAGGATACAGATCGCATCAGGCTTCGAGCCCACGGTGTGTGGGTCAAGGGCATGCCCCTTCCTGGCCTTCCCCACTCTGACCGCCTATTCACATGGACACAGACACCCCACACACGCTCGCAGGACTCTCCTCTAGATGTCCCTCCACTCTAATCAATTCCTAGATATACCTGCCAGGCCCAGATCCTCTGGAGTAGTAGGGGCTCCGGTTTGGTCCTGTCGAGTCCCCACCTGTCTCCTCATGCGGGCTAGATGGCACACAGGTGCACTGGGCACACTCAGAGCCCTACCTTCATACCCGCACACTGTCACGGTCCCTCCCTGCTCTCCCTTCTCCTGCACGGTCCACTGTCGTCGCAAAAGGCGCTGCCTCCAGCCTTGCCCCAGACCGGTCTCCAGTAGCCCCGAGGCCCCGCCCCTGTAAAGGCCCCGTCCCTCTACGGCTGAGGCCCCTCCCCTTCCGTCCTCTGCCCAGAGACTCCGCCTCTCGGGCTCCGAGACCACGCCCCGTCTCGCAGCAGTCCGCGCTGTGGCGCGGCCCCGCTCCCGTCCCTGGTCGGTCAGGGTCCGTGGTTGTCCCCAGACTGCTGGTTGGATGAAGCTAGCGCGACTCATGAAGGTGTTCGTCACTCGCAGGATCCCCCCCGAGGGCTGGGCCGCGCTCACCCGGGCTGCAGAGTAAGCCAGCGCCCCGCGTGCCCGCCGCTGTGCGCGCCGTGTCCCGCACCGGGTCGGGCCGGGTCGGGTCGGGTCGGGTCGGGTCGGGTCGGGCCGGGTCGGGTCGGGTCGGGTCGGGCCGGGCCGGGTCGGGTCGGGCCGGGTCGGGTTGCATCCGGCGGTGCCACCCCCAGGCCCCGGCACCTCGCGCACGGTGACTCAGTGATCTCCAGGCGCGCCGTCGGTGCGCCTCGCGCTGTGCCAGGGCCGGCGGGGGCACTCTTCCCTGCCCCCGGTGTTTGGGGAAGGAAGGGTGAAGGAGTCCAGAGCTTGCTTTGGTCTTGGGCAGACTTGCTAACTGCGCCCAGCCGGGTCGTGCTTGGAATTTTGAGGCTGCTCAGAGAACGTTCTCTAGGATTCGGCTCCTGCCAGCCTCCCAGCCCTGCTGTGGGGCACCCGGCATGGGGCGGTTGTCCTAGAGGGGAGACTGCCCTTGGGGCAAAGTTCAGGCTGTTAATTCTTTACCCTCTGAAGTTGGTTAAAACGGGCAGGAAGGGTCAGAGAGCATAGATGTGACCGACGTGTCCAGTGGATGGCGGGAGCTTTTGATGACCCTCAACTCCAACTCACCAGGTGCTTCTTGGACATCAGCTTTCCGTTCCTGCCACATTATGAAGTCAGTATTGTAATTCCTAAGTCATTCACTGAAAATCAGGCAGAGTGCATGCCAGTGACTCATGCCTAGCTAGCTATCCAGGAGGCTGAGGTCTGAGGATTGGAATTCGAAGACAGCCTGGGCAGGAAAGCCTGTGAGACTCTTTTTTTTTTTTTTTTTTTTTGGGTCCGGTTGTGGGGCCTGAACTCTGGGCCTGGGCGCTGTCCCTCAGCTCTTCAGCTCAGGGCTAACGCTCTACCACTTGAGCCACAGGCCACTTCTGGCTCTTTGCTTATGTGGTGCTGAGGAATCAAACCCAGGGCCTCATGCATGCAAGGCAAGCGCTCTACCACTGAGCCACCTTCCCAGCCCCTCTGACACTCTTATCCCAAATTAACCACCAGAGTGCCAGAAGTGGTAGGATGCTAGCCTTGAGCAAGAAAGCTAAGGGACAGTGTCCTGGCCCCCAGCTTAAGTTCCAGGACTGGCACAAACATCAAAATAAATAAATAAGCAAGCAGAAAGGGGAAAGAAGGGAGTACTTGACTGAGGATCCCACAGATGTAAGTGGTGGACCAGAGGTTTGTACTCAGCTTTGTCTCACGTTGACATCTTGCCACGCATGCACTTGAACTGTCACAGAGTAACCAATTCTAGAGGAAAATGTAGTATGTTTTTAATTTTGCCTAGCACAATGCAGCCTCTGTGGAGGACCTGCTTTTGTACTAAAGGGAGAATGGAAGAGGCAGAAAACAATACCAAAAAGATGTGGAACTCCCACTACTGTAACACCTGCCGTGCTTATGTTGGCAGCAAGAATATCCCAGGAGGTACCAGCAGCTGCCCCATCTCTAAAGGCTGAGAGGAGAATCTAGTTCCCACCATCGCAGAGGAAGCTCTCCCTAAACCCCTGTATCCATTGGCCTTGAGCTTATCTTTCCTGGCACACCCTACAGATGAGAGCTGTGTTTCATGGACTCATAGGACAGAAAGAAGTGGAGCTACTTGTGGAAGCCCAAGTCCTATCACATGCAGGCCCCTCTTGGCTCTCCTTCCAGCTGGCCTCTTGGAGGCTCCCTATGACTGACAGCTCTTGCTGGTGATATGTTGCAATGGCTTCCCCAGACTTTCCTTCTTTCCACTTAGGCTGTGCTCTGGGAGCCCTGCAGCCCTTTTCCGCTTTCTCTGATCTATGACAACTTTCACCATCCAACATTTGTCTCTGAATAGTTCTGAGACTACTTGTATACCTGATTCTCCCCAGCCAGCCCAGCAGCATGAGGTCAAAGCAAGCAGAAGGCAATGCTGACTCTGAGAGAGCTAGGTATCTGCAGGGCTTCCCTGCATCCCCTTAATGGTTTTCTTTCCCTTCAGCTGTGAGGTGGAGCAGTGGGATTCAGATGAGCCTATCCCCAGCAAGGAGTTGGAGCGCAGGGTGGCAGGAGCTCACGGCTTGCTCTGCCTCCTCTCTGACCGCGTGGACAAAAAGGTTCTGGATGCTGCAGGTGTGTGCTGGGCAGCCTGGGCGGGATTCTGAGGAGGTCTTCTCCCTTGGGTGGGATCTACAATGCTTTTCTTACCTTCTGAACCCTCAGAAGGCACACCCTGAAGTACTGGGCAGAAGCTGTGTTCAGTTATTGGCATGAGTTGCCCTTACCTGCTGTGAATCCCTTGGAGAGACTCCAGAACGGCAAAGAGCTCAGTGTGGATCCAGGGATATGGGGGGTGGGAAGGATGTCCTGGGTGCCCTTCCTGCCCTGCCACAGCCTTGTTCTGTGACCTTGAGCAAAACACCGCCCCTTCTGAGCCCCTCGTGCAGCCCAAGAGAGGATCTAGCTCAGTGCCCACAGCAGCAGGCACCCAGTGTGTGTTTGCATAGCTCACCCACAGCTCTTGGCTCTGAAGTAGAGTTAACATCACTCTGTGAGTTGTGTTGGACAGTTTGGAGAACAGTTCTGGTTTAGAGCTATGTGATAGGAAAGATGCTTTTAAGTTAGTGCTGAGCCACCCCAACCCCTGAGCATCTGGGGTCTTTCTGGAGAAGGAGGAGGTATGAGAAGGTAGGCCTCAGATGGGATCAGAGGAGACCCAAGAACACAGTGGGTAAAGGAGGTAAGGTTGAGTGTCTGAGGTTCTTTCTAAGAGACCCATCTGCTGTGACTTGGCCAGGACACAGCCTCCCTGAGCCACCATAGCTGTAGCTGGCTGAGAATGTTCAGAGTTTTACCCGAGGACTAGAGATGCCAGCCTTTCCTCCTGGTCTACGAACATTTATTAATGAGCTGGTATCCCCAGAACAGTCCCCAATACATGGCTTCAAATTCAATGAGGGGGCTGGGAAGTTGGCTCAGTGGTAGAGCGCTTGCCTTGCATGCCTGAGGCCCTGAGTTCGATTCCTCAGCACCACATAAGCAAAAAGAAAAAAGCCGGAAGTGGCGCTGTGGCTCAAGTGGTAGAGCGCTAGCCTTGAGCTGAAGAGCTGAGGAACAGCGCCCAGGCCCAGAGTTCAGGCCCCACAACCAGACCAAAAAAAAAAAAAATTCAATGAGGGAAGACAATACATTTTCTGTACAACAGGAGCTGACCTCAAAGTCATCAGCACCCTGTCTGTGGGCGTCGACCACCTGGCTTTGGATGAAATCAAGAAGCGGTAAATGCAACTCAGGCTCAGGACAGGGCCTGGGATGAAGGTGGCTAATGGAGGAACTGGTAGTTTGTTCTCTCAGTGAGAAATGCAAAGTGGCGGATGGTCAAACTTGTCCATGTGTGCATAAGCCATGTAAGCCCAGAAAGTCAGAATGATGGGTACCTCTGTCTAGTATCACCCTTTTCTTATCCCCACAACTCCTGGAAATAGAAAAGGCAAATGTTACTATTGCCCTTTCCCAAGAGGAAATTTTGAAAGAATAAGTGATTACTTGCACCAAACCTTGAACCCTGATCTTCCATCATTATGTCCTTCCCAAGTGAAGGTAACAGAAAAGGGAATGAAGACTAGCCACCTCTTGGTGCCCATTTATAGCTCCAATCTTCCTGGCAGGGAAAGCAGAAGTCACAGTATGGGAATGACAGCAGTGGACATTGCTAAATGTGCAGGAGACTGATTTAACCCTACATGTTTGATCCCTAGTGGGATTCGAGTAGGCTATACTCCAGATGTCCTGACTGATGCCACTGCAGAACTCGCTGTCTCCCTGCTACTCACCACCTGCCGCCGGTTGCCAGAGGCCATTGAGGAAGTGAAGAAGTGAGTGATACCTCCCAAGAAAGCAATCTCTGCTCAACTGGTGGTTCCTGAGAACCAGGGCCAGCCTGGCCTGGCTGCTTAAGGGCAGCACCCAGGACCTGAATTCAAGCCAGTTCTACTACCCACAGTGTTAAATGCCCTGTTCACCATCGGCCCACAGGAGTGGCACCTTGTTTGACTTGGACTCAAACTGTTCACCTAGGGCAATGGGCAGGCCTTATGGCTTTTTGTTGTTGCTTTGAAGCACCAAGAGAATGATTCCAGATTCCCAGGCTCCAAGTTTACAGCCTATGGCTTCCAGTTCCCCAAGTCTGCAACAACAGGCAGGTCACGTTTCCTGGCCTCAATAACTGTGTCCCAGATAACTGAAGGAGGCACCACTGCTGTGTAATGGCACAGCAAAGTAGCTGGTGGGGGGGAGGGGGATAGAGGGTTGGAGATATCATTACCCCACTCATAGCCCTTTGAGCAGGAGGTGAGTTTAGACTTTGCATCACAACTAGGGGTGCTGGGTATGTTGGCCTCCTGTGACTCATCTTTGCTAAAGCTGCTCACCACTCCTCCCCCTCCCCACAGTGGTGGCTGGACAACATGGAAACCCATGTGGATGTGTGGTTACGGACTCACGCAGAGCACTGTCGGCATTTTAGGGCTCGGGCGCATAGGTGAGCTCACCCCCACCTCCACCCCGACCACCTCTCAGTACTCCTGGCTTGGTTTGAGTCCCTGGTGATGTGGGCTGGAACACTGCATACCCCTTGGAGAAGCTAAAAGAACCACTTTGTAAAACATACATGCAAAGGAATAAATAAGTAAAACCAGGAGTCCTTCAGAACTCATTATATGACAGAGTTCCTTAGGATATCAGCTCTCTAAATAATAGAACAAGGAGGGCTGGGAAGGTGGCTCAGCGGTGGAGTGCTTGCCTTGCATGCATGAGGCCTGGGTTCAATTCCTCAGCACCACATAAGCAGAAAAAGGTGGAAGTGGTGAGGGCTTAAGTGGTAGAGCGCTAGCCTTGAGCTGAAGAGCTGAGGGACAGCACCTAGGCCCAGAGTTCAGGCCCCAAACCAACCCAAAAAAAAAAAAAAAATAGAACAAGGTCCTGGTGCTAGTGGCTCACGCTTGCAGTCTTATCTACTTAGGATGAGAGAGCAAGTTGGAAGTTGGACAATGCCACCATCAGGTCTGGGATTACAGTAACGGAAGCACAGGGTCCTCAGAAAAGAGGGAGGAGACCCCTTGACCAGACATCTGTAGGGCTGTCACATCCAGTCCATGGAGAAGGCTAGCAATTGTTCCTCAGGATGGTTGGGGTCATGTGAAGACAGTTTGAGCCAGAAGCTGTGGCATTGTCTCCAGATTGCTGAGGGCTGCAGGTTGGCTAGGGACTGATCACACTCGACTCCACTCAGTAAGACAGGACTAATTCATGGAGACAGTGCTGCCATTGAGACACTGTCCTAGACCTGTTGGATGCTGCTGTCATTTTTTAAAGCCTGAGAGCAAGTCATGATTTTGACTCCTTGCCTCTAGGCCAGGCTGTTGCGCGGCGATTGAAACCATTTGGTGTCCAGAGGTTTCTGTACACAGGACGTCATCCTAGGACTCAGGAAGCAGCAGAATTCCAGGCAGAATTTGGTAAGTAAAACCTTGATTTCCACTGGACCTTCATCTGTGTTCTTTTGGGAGTCTCCCTTAAATGGTGGCATTTGCAGGTAGAATGTGGGAGCTCCAGGTGACTGGAATCTGCTGTGTTCCATCAGGTGTTATCTAATCTGCCTACCTCTGGACACAGGTCTGCTTAGGAAGTATAGCATTTTCTCAGTGTGTGGGCAGAGGTGCAGGGATATACTGCCTTGATCCAGGAGGATCCAGGCCCTGTGAGCTGCATGGTGTGATGAAGAGCTGATGGAGGCTGGATCTTGTCATTCTCCCCGTCAGCACATCCAGCACTGAAGGAGGAAAAAGCAAGAATGGTCCAGATTATAGATCCTTGAAAAACCTCCCACCCTTCTCTCACCTCTTTTTCTCCATCTGCTAAACCAAGGGTCTGGTAGATGATGTGGTACACCAGGATCCCACAAGTGGCTGCCAGCTTTGTGCAGTCATTAGAGCTCTACGCGTAGAGATCAGGCCTCTAGAAAGCATCTTGGGAGTTTCTGTTATGAGGGGGCATGAGCGCCAGCACCATTTTGTTAGTCTCCACTATCTAGCTGTCTCTTGCTAGGATTTAGCCTCTGATGGAGCCCTGTTCTTCCCCCTCAGTGTCTGCCCCCGAGCTGGCTGCTGAGTCTGACTTTATTGTGGTGGCCTGCTCCTTAACACCTGACACCAAGGGGCTCTGCAACAAGGACTTCTTCCAGAAGATGAAGAAGACAGCTGTGTTTGTCAACATCAGCAGGTAACCTGGGGCCCCTGAACATCCCTGAGCAGTCTGTCCCCACTCCTGTGACCCTAGGCTTTCCTCCTTCTGGGTTGTTGCTGAGACCTCAGGCTGAGCTAAGTCTCCATTAACCACCGATGGACCAACAACTCAGAAATACAGGAAAGGCCTTGTGAAGAACTGGTTCCCAGCAGTAGCCCCAGCCTTCCTCAGGGCCTGCCTCACAGTACTGAGGTTCAGGCAGTACAGGCTTGGTGTGCACCAAGTCACCAGGCAGCCTTGGGCAGGCCTACTATCCACCATGAAGGGTGTACCATATGAAGTCTCGGGAAAACCATTTTTTTTTGTTTTTGTTTTTTTTGTGCCAGTCCCCAGGCTTAAACTCAAAGCTTGGGTGCTGACGCTTAAGTTTCTTGCTCAACACTAGTGCTCTACCACTTATGCCACAGCTCCCCCTCCAGCTTTTTTGGTGGTTAAATGGAGATTAGAGTCTTACTGACTTCCCTGCTGAAGCTTGCTTCAAACTTCAAACTTCGCACTGTAATCCTCAGATCTAAGCCTCCTGAGTAGCTAGGATTATAGGCGTGAACCACCAGGAGGTGGCTGAAAATCGTTAGACACTTAAGCTATGTGTTTACTGATCTCTCTGCCCTTGTTAGGCAGGTCCCTGATTGTATGTTGTGATTCTCAATGGAGTGGGAGTGGGGAGTCCAACACAAATGCAACTTGTAGGCTCTGTTCCTGCTGTAGTGCATGTCAGTAAGCTTTATTCCTCTCAGCATTCCTGGGAGGTCGGTGGGAGTTTCCATGTGTCACAGAGGAAACTGAGATCTAAAGAATTTGAGACCCTTGTCAAGGGTCACACAGCTAGCAAGTGGCAGGACTAGAGCTCTTCAGTATAGGACTATCCAGACTTCCTATAGCACACTTCTAAGATGTGCTGCTTTAGAAATCAGTACCAAATGTGAGGTGGGTTGTTGTCTGGAACAAAAAAGCCTGGGTAAAGGGCATCCATATTGCATGATCATTTCCAGGGGAGATGTCGTAAACCAGGATGACCTGTATGAGGCCTTAGCCAGTGGCCAGATTGCAGCTGCTGGACTGGATGTGACGACCCCAGAACCATTGCCCACTAACCACCCTCTGCTGACTCTCAAGAACTGTGGTAAGAGCTGTATGTTCCCAGCGCACATGCCTGCACTGTGGACCAGGGTTGAGAGGTGGTCCTGGGCTGTATGGAGCCAGTTTAAGTGGTGCTAAACACAGACAAACCAGGTCTGTGAATTGTGTAGGCTATTAGTGATCCAAGAGAGACCCTTCTGAGCATGCTCAGTTGGGTCTTTGTTGTCCTACTCTTGTGACTATCATGGAGAAATCTTATTACTATCAATGCCTAGTATCAGTGTGTGAGAAAAGTAGTAATGACACCACCAGTATTTACACTTAGGCCAGTGTTTTCTCGCAGCAATAAAACCTTCTTGTTTTGTGGGTAGGACTGGGGCCTGTGTTCAACCATTTCTTAGCTACCAGGTTTCATCAGTGTGGGGTGCTGGAGGCTAGTCCCTCTTGCCTGCCTGCCTGCCTGCCCACCCATCTGCCAGTCTGGAGTGGCACACAGCTGCGCCTCTGTCACTAGCAGCAGCAGTTCCTCCTAAGGTGGCTAAAGAATCCAGTGTGGGTTTTCCAATATTTGGCTCCCCAGCTAGTCAGTACCCCACAGAGGTGTGAGTTTGAGCTATGGTGGCCCTTTCTTCATTCTTTGCACTGTAACAGTCCCACCCTGTTCCTATGCTTAGAGTGTGAGATGCTTCTAGCCATTGCTATCCATGACACTCATTGTACTAGCTCTCATACTTCCTTTTTGAGTCCTTGAGGGACAGGGCTCCAGGGGTCAACCCCTTGGGTTTCTGCTTTAGCAGACCTGGGCTGGACCTGAGACTGTGCACCCAATTGACTCCCAGGTGACTGGTTTTGCTGGCTCTGGGACCGGTCTCAGCACTTGCCTTTCTGCCTCTTCAGTTGTCTGCTTAACAGCTTAATGAGCCACCAGCAGCTGGCTTGACTAATAATAATTTACATATTAAGGTTTCTGCTTCTACTCACCATTGGTCAGAGCTGTAGGTTATCCTTTTACATTCTGGCATGGAAAACCAAACAAGTCCTTTGCTGCCTGCCCAATGAAGGCGTCCATTATGGCAGCCTTGGCAACTCTACAGTCCTATCCAACTCCAGCCTGCCTGGCTGTGATGTTAGGGCCGTTGCCTGCAACTGGGGGGAAAAAGTCACATCTTCCAAGCTGAGAGTCAGTTTATCATGCAGGTACTGCTTCAAAAGGCAGCTCTTTAGGGCAAGTGACCTCGCTAGCTTCACCCCACTGCTCTGCAGGGCGTGCCATCCAGTACTTCATCTTCTGAAGACCTGGGCATCCATCACTTTAGGGGTACAAGGTGTGACAAGTGGTTGGTGCCTAGCTTCTAAGCTGTTTCTAGGGTGCAGGTCCCTTGTTCTTTTTGTGTGGATCTCAGTAGCCTGCTGTCCCTTTACTGTTACCCTTAGCCCCAGTCCTGGGGGTGGTATGATCGTATGAGGGGAAACAAACAAAGGAGCACTAAGGCAAGTTCCAGTGTCTTCCATACTGGCAAACTCAACATGAGAGAAGAAGCAAGCTTAGGGTCTTGAACTATTCTCTAACCTGCCTCTCTCTCCTTTCTAGTGATCCTGCCCCACATTGGCAGTGCCACCCACCAGACTCGCAACACCATGTCCTTGTTGGCAGCTAACAACTTGCTAGCTGGCCTGAGAGGGGAACCAATGCCCCGTGAATTTAAGCTGTAGCCAAATGGGACTAAGGCCTGAGACCTAGTGCCCTGAGATTCTGCTGGACACTCCAGGCTGGATTTAGAAACCAAGGGGAAGCCTGATCGGTAGTCTGCAAAAGACAAGTGCTGGGAGAAATGCTTGTCACGTTTATGGCTGTACATATCTGAGCCCAAAGTCTGTAACTACCATTAAATAATTTTGTGAGATTGTCTCAGCCTTATTCTGTGGGGAGCTACAAAAAGACTATCTGTTTAGTTGACATGTAGTGACCTGCTAGGTTCTGCTGCCCACCTCAGGTGTTTCAATATTTAGACCATGTCCAGATTCCTGCCTTCATCTCTTCATCAAGCAGAGCCTAGTTAACCGTAACACTTGATCGCAATACCTAGACCATCAGAAAAATTAAAGAGACACATAGCAAAGGAGAACTAGAGTAAAGGAGGATTATAGAAGGTCAACACAGTTTTGGTAAGAATAACAATACAAATAGTAAGTTTCCACACCTACACTCTGGCCACTTTTCTCACACAGTTGTCTGCCCCTTCACATAGGTGAATGCTCTCTGTAATCTCCTCACTATCCCAAGGCCAGGCCACAGCACTACCATTTGCAAAGCCCTGCTCTGTGCTGAAGGAATCAGCTTCAACTCTTCCTCTAGGTAAGCCAAGGGCAAAGGAGCTTTCTACACAGGAGGCAGCACAGGGCACAGCACCAGGCTGAGTGGCCCCCTAAGAGTTATGTGTATGTACTGTGAAACCTCACTCATGTCCACAGTTCAGACACGAGAGTAATTGAGGGGAACCGTCTATCACTGTTATTGACAGCATTGTCATGGAGGCTTGGTTTTAAATGTACCAGAAAGGGCCCAAAACAAAAAGTACCAATCATGGGGTTGGAGGCCTGGCTCAGTTGGTAGAGTACCAGCCAATGAGCAAAAGGGCCAGGTACCGAATTTGAGTTGTAGTGTCAGACTACTCCCCCCAAAAAAACTAATCAAAGCAGAGCTAGCAGAGAAAGAACCTTAACCTAAGCAAATGGGGGAAAAACATATTTAGAGGCATGAATATGACAAATTTTTTATTTCAAAATCTCAACTCTTACCAGCATAGCACCACTGACAAAGGTGCCCTGATCGAACTTGATGATGTGATCACCAGAATACATTGTACAAGATTATGCCAGGCTATAATTAAGGCTAATCAATCAAAATTCAGGTCCCAATACCAGTTAGACTCCAGGCAGGATCTCTGGGGGCTGGTTCTCCAGAGAACCTTGGAATTACTTTTTTTAAGTGCTACAGCATGTCTGAGGACAATGGCCCACAAGCTTGCTTCTCGCACGTAGAAACCGACTGACCAAGAGGTAGATGAGATATTCCAGGTTCCATTCAGCAGTGGAGAGAGGGCTCCAGCATGTGTCAGATGGGCCCCAATGCAAAGTCCAGTTGTGCCAAGGGGGCAGGCTCCTCGCCCCAGGCCCAGGCAGGACCTCTCTTGTTCTCCATGCTGACCTACCTGACTCCAGAGATTAATCTCACAGGACACTGGTCCCTACATCATGAGGGTAGAATTAGAGCCCCTCATATCACTTGACAATGAACCACACACAACTGAATTTCACAGATGATCCTACATCCTCCATAGTGCTCAAAAGGAGGAATCACAGGTTTCCCTTTGGGGTTTCCTCCTAGGAGTCCACAGGAGATGCCAAGCCCTCTGGGAACACCATAGTTTATCCACAGAGGTATAACTGCACACACTAGACTGAGAAGATAAACACTCATTTTTGTTTTAGGGTACATATAGTTGGCTTTCTAAACTTCAGAACTGATCTCTTGAATTCTGCACAATGGTTTGCTGTCTGAGAGCTATGTAAGAAAAAATAAACTCCTCTTCATGCAGGAACTAAACTGAATGAGATGCATGAACCTGTGCCGTTCCCATGGCTGCACGGGTGACAGCCTCATGTTGGAGGACGGCAAGGCAAAGATTGGGGAGGTAGGGCAGGAGGGCCTGGTAGAAGCCCTGGTTAGTGTCCAGAATGCTACTCAGGTTTGAAAGCTAATGGGTAACTTCTATGTCATGGGCTCCCTAATATCTTAAGTCTGGAAAAATACCCATCTATGAATACTACTACCTATGGACTTCACATAATTTTGCAACACTCAGTATTGGGTTGGAAGGGCTACAATAAAAATTTAGTGTGTATGCTTTTAAAATATAGTATATAATAAAAACATGGAGGGTGGCATTCTGTTGGGCTACTTTGTAACTGATAACAGTAATCTAGGATTGGGAGAGATGCCACATGGGGCCTGGGAGTGTGAAGAAACGAAACAAGACAAGATGGTTTGTCCTCAGCAGAAATGCGTCTGACAGGACTGGTCTTCAACAGCTGGATGGAGCAGAGGGAAAATGTGCCAGGAAAACCCCCACAATACATGACTTCACACCATCAGAACAAAGACAAACACTAGCTCTTTGCTGACATTCAAACAGGAACTGTAACATTGGTAATACAAGTTAAAATACTGCTAAAATAGCACATACAGAAATAAAACCCTACTTGTCACTCCCTACAAGTATATACTCAATTTACAACTTTGTTTTTAAGCCAGGAAAAAAAGTTAAAATATCTATCCAGCAGAGATATTTTCAAAAGTATATACAGCTGTTATTCCAAGAGAATGCTCACCTGGACTCAATGTCAGCACCATCAAAGGGCAGTGTCTGTGACTGCAACTCAGACAAAAAAATAAAAAAAATACAGTACTCTGAGACCTAGGACTGGCTCAGGATACACTTTAAAGCATCTGTGGCGGACAGGCATGTCCTCGAGGGCCTTCCTTTAAGACTGGCACCACGTTGCCGCTGGTTACACATAAGTGCGTTTTGCATCATGGTACAGGGTTGTACTAGTCTCACCAGAGGGCATAGGAAATTTAAATGCTTCACAGAGCATTTCAAAAAATTGCCTAAAAATGTTTTTTGCACTTGCATTTTTAAATTTCTAAATATGCCACTTTTAACAACATCAGTTGCAAATTACTGTAGGACTGGATTACTCAACCCTAAGGAAGACGCCGGTTCCAGGGATTGCATCCCTCTTACAAGTTACACACTGCTGCAGCCCAAGTGTGACATGGAACCACTCTCCACTTGTGCATCATCAAAACTGGCTGCTGAAGCCTCCATGGCATTAACTGCCCACCAAAAGTTCCAGAACTGGCCTAGACATGGTCTTACAAGGAGGAGAGTTAGAGCAAAGTGCTGGGAAGGTTGCTGCTCTGCCAGCGCAGGCAGGTCGTTTTGGAATGTTTATACAGGTGGCTAGACTGACTAAACCTCTTGCCACACTTCAGGCAGGCGTAAGGCTTTTCACCTGTGTGAACACGGATGTGCTTCTTGCAATCTGTCAAAGTCAGGAAGGTTTTGCAGCAGATCTTGCAGGCATACTTGCGAGCTCCTTCTACCACCAAGACATTGTGCTCTGATAAGGCCTTCTTGCACTTTGACAAGACATCGGCAGATGCTCTGGTCAACTGTGGAGGCCCAGGCTGGGAAGGATGGCCATTTTCAAATGAGGATGTGGCCCCATTCATCATCAGCTGGGAACTGGCAGAGTTTTCAGGGATCTGTGAGCTCCTGACGGAAGTTACAACGGGCATTTTGGGAGCTATACGGCGGTAATATGGAAAGTTACTGGCTCCTCCTCTTGGGGAACCCATCATTACCCTGGAAAAGGAGGAGTGGAGGCCCAAGCCAGACCTGGAAAAATCCATCCCAAACTGTTCTCCTTGGTAACCTGAAGTCGGCACACATGGCAGGCCCATCACCTCCTGCATGGGTCTGACGAAGTGGGAGTCTGCAGGCTCGCTGAATGGATTCTCCACATGGGAGCCGGGGGCAGAGGAAGGCCCGCCTGGAGGCCCAGCCTCGGGACTCAACAAGTAAGGGGCTTCCCCCTCCAGCCTGCAGTCACTAGTAGTGTTTGGGATGTTATCATCATTGCTCTGACTTGTACTAAAGTTACTCCCTCTGCTCTTGTTCAGAAAATTTGAAATGCTAAAAGTAGACTTATGTTCAAGGTTATTTGTGACTTCCAAAATGTGGATGTCACCCACCCTGTCGGTGCTGGACTGAGGATCTGAAAAACTGCGATCGCTGCTCTCGGGGCTGAGGTCTATCTTCTCGGCGCTGACGGCCACGCCTTCCACTTCCACGGACTCGCTGCCTTCGGCCTGGGAGGTGACGTCGCTCACTTCGTCCTGGGGCTCCGGGGAGCTCAGGGGCTCCGACTTCACCACCACTCTCATGTGTTCCTTCTCGCCAAGGCCAACCTCGGGGTTCTCACACGGGAAACCACTCTTCTCGGCGGCAGCCTCCTGCTCAAAGCTCGTCTCCACCTGCGTTGCGCGAGAGGCCATGGACAGCTGCGCCATGTTGCTGGCAGTGGTGTCCGATTGGCTGGGCACCTGGGCGTCTTCCTGGGCCCCGAAAGACTGGTCAAACAGGATGCCGCCGTCTTCCTGGCTGTCCGTCATTCCGTCGGGCTTAGGATTCTCCACCATCTTCAGCGAATCTGGTGAAAAGAACTCCTCCCGAGAATGCACTCCCCCAGGCCCGGCCTCCGGGGCCACGTCGGCGACGGCGGCCTCATCCAGGGCGGGGCGCAGGCGCTGCCGGGCCCGCTCCTCGGCCGACTGCTTGCGCTTATGAAGGCGCCTCATGGGGAAGGGCGTCCGCTGGTCCAGGTTACTGCGCATGGATGAGCTTATCGGGGCTGGGGGCTCCTCCACACCCTGGCTGGAACTGAGGGCTGAGCTCACGATGCTCAGCCCCAGCTGCTGCAGCATGAAGGAGCGCTGCATGCGGGCGCTCTGCTCCTGCACGCGCTCGCTGGGGGGAGACATGGGCAGCGTCCTTGTCGTCAGGTAATGTTTACATGCCTTAACGACGGAGTTCAAGTGCAGGTGAGAGGCTGCCAGTAAGACGTCCATGACATTACTCTCCCCCAGCATGAGCGTGGAGGTGTACATCATGTCAATCAGGGCGGCGAAGGCCTCCGCTGTCACCACCTCGCTATCCAGCTGGATCATGTTCATGGTCTGATCTCCTTCTGCCACGGAGAACAGGGCGCGGAAATGTGTGCTGCATGCTGCCAGCACCGAGCGGTGGGCCTTAAAGTGTCTATTCCCCACCACAATAACACAATCACAGAGCTGGCTGTGAAGTCTCTGGTAGTTCAGTTGCTGGAAGATCTGTTCAAAGTGACCTGGAAAATCCATTATCCTATAGGAGATGAGGAAAGAGTGTTAGGATTTAGAAAAGCTTAAGTCAAAGCCAGAACACCAAGAATGTGAGGAAAACAGAGACATGGGTGGCCAAGCTTAGAACTTTTTTTCTTTTGTCAATTGTGGTGCTTGAACTCACAACCTGGAGGATGTTCTTAGGGTCTTTTTGCTCAAGGCTATTGCTCTACCACTTTGAGCCAAGGCACCACTTCCAGTTCGTGATTAATTAGAGATAAAAGTCTCCAGGACTTTCCTGCCCAGGCTGGTATTTTTTTTTTTGGGGGGGGGGGTCTGGTCGTGGGGCCTGAACTCTGGGCCTGGGCGCTGTCCTTCAGCTCTTCAGCTCAAGGCTAGTGCTCTACCACTTGAGCCACAGGGCCACTTCTGGCTTTTTTTTTCTTTTTTTGCTTATGTGGTTCTGAGGAATCGAATCCAGGGCCTCATGCATGCAAGGCAAGCACTCTACCACTGAGCCACCTTCCCAGCCCCTAGGCTGGTATTTTTTTTTTTTTTTTTTGGTCTGTCGTGGGGCTTGAACTCTGGGTTTGGGCACTAGCCCTGTGCTCTTCAGCCAAGGCAAGTGCTCTACCACTTGAGGCACAGCACCACTTCAGGTTTTCTAGTGGTTAATTGGTAACAATCCGACATTCATGGACCTCTTTCAGGCTCATGAACAGGCAGGTTGTTCAGGTGTCAAGAAAAGTGGAATGCAGGTGAGATAAAAACAGAAAGCCTGGCTGAAAGTTTGCAATTTGAAAAAAAAAAAGAAAGGCTGGAGTGGCTCAGATCACAGAACAGTGTCTATCCAGCAAGCACAAGGACCGAGTTCAAACTCCAATACCACTAATAGACAGATCATGGACTCAGCAAAGGAAATCACACAGAGACAGAGGAAGTTAATGCTTATCTGGGGCAAGAAATGAATATAAATGGACAGAGGTTTTGGGGGGTAGGGAGAAGTAACAAACAATCTAGAGTTTCGCTGCAGTCATAATTATACATACTTTATTAGAAAATAAATGACAGAGAAAGAGCATGTAGCAGAGGCCTCTCCCAGGAAGACAGCACTTAAGTCCTTTATTATATTATATTCACATCTTGCCTGAATTCTTCTCTTACCAAATACAAGAACCCAAGGTCAACTTAGCTGGCCTAAATTTCTGGTAAAACATATATTATACTTCAAGTAAAACCAGTAGATTGTTCCTTAATAAATAATAACGGAAAATGGAAAACAGAATGAACAAGCTTGGTCCAAAGCCATGTTTTCAGGATCCACTTTGAACTTTAGGGCTTCTACAAAATTAAACTGATGACTTACATATGAATAGGTATTAGCCATGAGCACTGGGGAAAAGCAAAAGCAACGTGTAATGTAATTGAACTTCTCAACTCACAGGTATTGCAGCCCTGTAGACTGGACCTAGAAAGCAGAATTCCCTACAGGCAATCTCAATAAATCCTCAAAATCCAAAGGCCCATGCCATGGTTCTCACCAGAGAACCGCTTTTAGACTACTGAAAGTATGCTTGTCACAGGGCATACAGCTAAGAAAGAATAAATTTAAGAGGCAACTTAAAAGAGACTTTTGCTGAACCCTGTGAATTAACTAAAAATCTGTGCTCTTTGATCTGAATTGTTTAATGCTGCTGCTACTTTGCAATCACTCTGGGCTCCAAGAAAGAGAAAATACACTGATAAACATCTTTTTTTTCTGATAAGCATCTTCTGTGGAAGGCAAACTGTGCTTCAACCAGGCAATGTCTTCTTCTTATCATTTCAAAAGAAAACACCTGATGGCTGGGAATGTGGCTTAGTGGTAGAGTGCTTGTCTAGTATGCACGAAGCCCTGGGATCGATTCCTCAGTACCACATAAACAGAAAAATTCAGAAGTAGTGTTGTGGCTCAAGTGATAGAGTGCTAGCCTTGAGCAAAAAAGCTCAGGAACAGTGTCCAGGCCCTGAGTTCAAAACCCCAGGACTTGGCAAAAAACAAAACAAGAACACAGCTGAAAAACTCAGATCACCTGCCAGCCACCTTGTTCTTGTACCATTCCAATGATGAAATGATAACTTTCTAGGGCTGAAGACTAAGCTAATGGTCAACCAGGCCACACCTGAGACTTGGGACTTTAACTCTGCATATCCTTCCCATTCCCTGCCTTAATTCTCCCTACTTAACTTGAAGTCATAGTCTGTATCCCTGAAGATGGCTAAAGATGCACTGAAATGCTGTCTTCTCATGGTTGCCAAATAACAACTCTCCTTTCTCCACCCATCACAATGTTTCTTTATTTGGCATATGAGGGCCTGTGGCTGATCCTATTTGGGACTCCTGGACTTTGGACTTGGGATCTAAAAACTCAGTATCACAAAGACGGCAGATAACAGATGCTATTTGATGTCTTTAACTCCCATTTCCTGGCCAGGGAAGCAGGAAAATTTTCTTCTCATATCTCTATTTTAACTTTTTAAACTAAAATAAATCCTTGCTAAAACTTTCACATTGTGAGACTCTCCTTTTTGTGAGACACCCTGAAATGCTTTTCATGATTGGATTTCAAGGACTTGTGATTTTTTTGTGTGGAAATCTGAAAGCAGAGGGAAGCTCTCATCCATTCTTCAGTGACATAACCACTTGCTCTGGTGCCCTGCTCTGATGGAATAAGCCATCACTGTTCAGGATCCTGGGAAATAACTGAAATGATTCAAATAAAAAAATACATAACTGTGCCAACTGAGAGTATGTGCCATTTAGCTAGACCAGGAGAGTAACTACTGGGATGGAATCAAAATGTAAATGGTAAGTTTCCCTCCTGTCCTTCCATTCCCACTCTCCTAAACACCACTTAATATATACTCTTCTAGAGATGACAAGAATATGGAGTATGTGCATGACTGTTCTTCCTATAATGACCATCTACCAAAGAGGTAAAACATCCTGATTTTTCTATTGTAATGATAAAGAAACTGCAGTTACTCTTTTACATGCCTTATGTATCTGTAGCAAAATTCTACAAGGCAAAAATATGTAAATATTTTATATTTTGACCATGTTACAAAATTGCCTTCAGTAGAGGGCACAGCAGTCCTACTTAATATTTGTGGCTGCATACTTGCTTCATTTCAGCCTCCTAAGTATCTAGGATTACTGTGCCTGAGTCAACAGTCCTCCAGCTATTTTAAACTTTTTGGTATTTGTAATTCACATAAATAAAATGCCTTACCCATTTTTTTGTGTGCCAGTCCTGAGGCTTGAACTCAGGGCACTGTCCCTGAACAGGCTAGTGCTCTGCTACTAGAGCCACAGCTCCACTTCCAGCTTCTTGTAATTTATTGGTGATAGAGTCTCATGGACTTTCCTGTCCAGGCTGGCTTCACACCATAATCCTCAAACCTCAGCCTCCAAGTAGCTAGGATTACAGGCATGAGCCCAACTCACCCTTTCTTAAGCCATGCAGTAAAAATCAGACTGTTGGGCCCTAGTTAGGACTGGATAGATCATGCAGGGAGGTCTGACCACCTAAGCACCAACTGCCATGGATCACCATAACTGTTTCAGAAATGAGTTATCTGACACAAGCCAGTCCAAAGTTTGCCCTGGGGACTTAAAGAGGTATTTTTTTCACTCAAAATACAAACTTGCTAAAACAATATCTATTTTAATATCTAATATTATACTTCTATTTAAAATTTAAGAAGTCTAAATAGCCTCCTTGGTCTTAGCCACCAACATGCCTTACTACTGAACTCCTTTTTGCACAGAGCCATCCAGATTAAGGAAGACTCAGAAATTTCAGGGCCACCTGAGTCATGGCCACAGCACTCAGGAGGATGCAGTAATGCTGGTGGTATGGATTGACTTTGACAAATGTCACCCAGGTTACTTTGGGAAACTTGGTATGAGGCATTACTTCTTAAAAGGAACAAGAGCTTTTACCCAGCTGTCAACCTTGATAAACTGTGGACATTGGTCAGTAAGCAGACACAGGTAAATGCTGCTAAAAACAACTGGTATTGCTTCCATTGTTGATGTGGTTCCATAGGACTACTACAGAGTTCTGGGGAAGGGAAAGCTCCCTATGCAGCCTGGCATCATGAAAGCCAAATTCTTCAGTGGAAGAGCTGAGGAGGAAAGTAAGGGTATTGGGGGTGCCTGTATCCTGGTGGCCTGAAGCCATATAGAACGAGGTTCATTAAATGTGTAGGTTATAAAGTAACATCTCCATATTCCTGTTTGCGTATTGGGATCCTGCCCAACAAATACTAGAAATGAGGGGTGTGGCCCCTCCTGATGCGTGTTGACAATTAAAATACATTTTAAAATGCCTAAAAAAAAGCCTAAATATACTTCTCCTCTATTAGTAGATGCTACCTGCTACCCATCACAATTGCCTCTCCTAAAATCTTTTCAGCAATAAAAAATTTCCATGGTCTTTATCATAGATGAAGTCTTATTTCGTGTGTGTGTGTGTGTGTGTGTGTGTGTGTGTGTGTGTGTGTGTATGCACACTCCACACTCTCATGCACTGGTCCTGGGGCTTGAACTCAGGGCCTAGGCACTATCCCTGAGCTTTTGTATGCAAAGCTAGCACTTTACCACTTGAGCCACAGCACCACTTCCAGTTTTCTGGTGGTTTATTGGAGATAAGAGTCTCATGGTGTTTCCTGCCTGGGCTGGCTTTGAACCATGATCCTCAGATCTCAGCCTCCTGAGTAGCTAGGATTACAGGCATGAGCCACCAGTGCCTGGGTAGCTTCCAACTTTTAAGTGGTTAATTGGAGGTAAGAGTCTCATGGATTTTTCCTGCTTGGGCTGGCCTTGAACTGTGAGACTCAGATCTCAGCTCTTTAGTTTTTTTCTTTTTCTTTTTTTTTGTCGGTCATGGGGCTTGAACTCTGGGCCTGGGCGCTGTCCCTCAGCTCTTTAGCTCAAGGCGAGCGCTCTACCACTTGAGCTACAGCACCACTTCCGGTTTTCTGGTGGTTTACTGGAGATCCTCAGAACTGCGATCCTCAGAGCTCAGCCTCCTGAGTAGCTAGGATTACAGGCGTGAGCCACCAGCGCCCGGCTTTAGTTTTTTTCTTAATAAAAAAAACCTATACATTTATTAAGATGTCATGCAAAGCATTGGAAGTATTGCTATTGATGGTGCCAAAAGCCCAATTATCTGGCTCTACTTTGTCTCTTACTTTTTCTTTCTTTCTTTCTTTCTTTCCTTTTTTCCCTTCCTTTCTTTCTTTCTTTTTCTTTCTTCCACCTTTTCTGAGTCATTCTCTTCTATGATTAACCTGGACTCCAGAAACAAGACTAATCAGTAGACCTCTTTGCAACAAGGGACTAAAATTAACCCTGAGCAATAGCAATCCTAGAAGAATACATCATCCCAAATGTAACTGCCCTATGATGGAAGGAAACTGAAGCTGCATCCTGGGTCAGGGATAGTCTCCAGGGATAACAGCTTTTCAGAGCCATCTCACAGAGCCAGAACTGAAACAACAATCTACCAGATCACTGTTCTGACAAGATTACCTGCTGTCACTATGCAAACTCCCAACATCTGCCTTTGTTTCCCTTTCTTATAAAAATCTCAAAGATCCCATCAGGTTTTTTGTTTTTTTTCCCTTTGGTTGGTCGTGGGCTTGTTTGGCCTGGGCGCTATCCCTGAGCTCTTCAGCTCAAGGTGAACACTCTACCACCTGAGCTACAGTAGCACCACTTCCATTTTTCTGGTAGTTAACTGGAGATAAGAGTCTCTCATGGACGTGCCTGCCAGGGCTGGCTTTGAATGGCAATCCTCAGATCTCAGCCTCTGAGTAGCTCCATCAACTTCTTGACAGGCCTGGGGTTACTGAATCTCTGTCTAACTCTTCCCATTTGTGTATTGATGAAGCTCCTTTCTCTGCCCTTCATCATTGCTCATTTTTTTGAGTAGTGTTTTGCAATACTTCAATGGGAGTCTTGGAGCCAGGGCTTTAGCCTTACACTTTGGTAACAGGGCCTTGCCTGTAAAGAAGATTTAAAAAAAGAAAGAAAGAAAGGATTGTTTCAACTCTAGGCCTCCATTCTCACCTGACTGTTTTGCTCATAGCTGGGGCTCTACAACTTGCAGCCACTTCTCCAATTCCTATTCTATCACTTCTGAATCATTTATGAAATCTGTAATGGTCAGTAGGAGCCTGATACTTGACCTGATGAATTCTCTTCGATAATCTATTCAAAATAAAATGTAATGTATTATTACTAGATGTGTTTAGATTTTTGAAGCATTTCTGGGTTCCTGTTACAACAGAACCCCCAAACAGTGGCTTCCTTTCCCAGACCTCTGTCCTCACTTCTCTTTGTAGTAGAGATTAAAAGAGAAAGACTAGAAAGGTGAAAGGCTTTCATTTTTAGAGGAAAATGATTGAATATAATTTAAATTATAACTGACTAAGATATACTATAAAATAAATTCCACTATGTTGACAATATTTTACCCAGGAAGAAAAGGCAATAATTCATTCTAATCACTTTAAAATAAAGCATCTGTAAACCTTTGTTATCAAGTATAAAAAGTAACAGATTATCCAAGTACAGTTCCAAAAAAGCATATTTACCACCATCCTTTTAAGTTTATAAAATAAACATTTGGAATTTCCATTTATATAAACAAGTCACTTTCTAGGAGCTCTTTTCAATAACAAACTTTCTCAAGAGCACAAAGGCAAATTTGTAAAGTACAGATATATTAAATTTATTGAGTGCAAATATCTTTTAGTTATATTACATTTCATTACATTTAAAATGCCAGTGATTATAAACTTCATTGCTAGGAAAGCCATTTTTTTTTTTTTATTCTTTTTTGGTCTGTGATAGAGGTGGCTATGTTGCCCAGGTTGGTCTCAGACTAGTGGTGGGATTTCAGGAATCCCAGCTAAATTGTCAGGACAATGCTTACTTACACCACTCTGTCTTCAAGAAAAAGAAAATGTGAACAAAGGTTTGGGAAGGTGGCTCAGTGGTAGAGTACTTGTCTTGCATGCCTGAGGCCCTGGGTTCGATTCCTCAGCACCACATAAGCAAAAAGAAAAAAAGCAGGAAGTGGCGCTGTGGCTCAAGTGGTAGAGCGCTAGCCTTGAGCTGAAAAGCTGAAGGACAGCGCCCAGGCCCAGAGTTCAGGCCCCACAACTGGATCCAAAAAAAAAAAAAAAAAAAAGAAAATGTGAACAAAATGTGTTTTAGTATTTAGAAAATACATGAGCCATCAATTCAATTATGTTAGAAGATGAAAAGAAAAATTATCTCCAGGTAAAATAATCTCAACTACTAAGAATCTATTCTTATTTACTATACTATAATAAAGTTGATACTCTAACACATATTGTAGCGAATACACGTAGAAATAATGAAAGATACTCTGAAAATGATCCTGAGATTAAAAGCCACTGCTCAGTGATGAAAATGATGAAAATAACTGTAAAGAGCAAGAGGTCACTCAACAGCTGGTGAGTTAGCATGTGAGAAGTTCACTTCCTACTTAGACAAAAGTTGTAGTGTAGTGTTACAATCCTTCCTGCTACTGTAGGGAAAATAGCCTCTAGTAGACAACATTCATGAGAATCATTAAGTACAAAATTATTTTAAAAATCATATACTCAAAACAAAAGGTAAAAGTATTTACAACTTATATTTTTAAAAGCAGTTGAAAGCTAACATGGAATCAATAACTTGGGCTCTTTTCTCCCTTCCCAAGAAGAATGTGAAGCAGACTCAAGATTCTATGTCAGGACTACAGCAAGTTTTATCACTTGCAAGAACACAAAATGTTTTTGTAGTCTCTAACAGAATAAAACATGTACATACATTTTGCTGGGAGTCATTTTTAAAAATCTTTCCACATAAGATCGGAGAGAAAGAAGACAATGGCGTTTTAATATATTTTTTGTGACTTCCAAAAAAAAAAAATCTTTCCACATGGAAGAGTCTAAATTTAGGAAAACATCCCTGCCTTACATGCTTTCATCTTAATTTCTTTCTTTTTTGGGGGGGGGTCCAGTCGTGAGGCCTGAACTCTGGGCCTGGGCGCTGTCCCTCAGCTCTTCAGCTCAAGGCTAGCGCTCTACCACTTGAGCCACAGCACCACTTCCGGCTTTTTTCTTTCTTATGTGGTGCTGAGGAATCAAACCCAGGGCCTCACACATGCAAGGCAAGTGCTCTACCACTGAGCCACCTTCCCAGCCCCTCATCACATGTGTAGAATTTTGCTTGAGATATTTCAATTAATCAAATCCAGTCTTCCAACACCCCAGTTAACTGAAAGTTACATTTTAGGATGTTGTTGTTGTTGTTGTTTAGAGGTACAAGAGTTTGAATTTTGGGCCTTGCCCTTACTCAGCTGGTGAGCTACCACTTGAGCCAAACCTCCAGCTGGAAGTTGCATTTTGCAACAACTTTTAGAGGGAAAAAAAAAAATCTCAAAATCAAAGCAAAAAAATGTCTTCAAAGGGCCATAATAAGTCCTTAACTAGTTAAACTTACCTGGCAGGGTCACTAAGCTGGCTGCAGTGACCAAGTCAGTCTTCCCAAGTTGTTGAAATGTCCAGAAGAGTTAAAGCAAATAGTGGAAGGCCTTCCTTTGGCTTAAGGGCCTTTTTCTCTGAAATTCTTTCTCCTCTATTCATCTGGTCTCTTCCCTCCCCACTCTGTTAGCTACTGCCAAACAGCTTCGTCAAGAATCACAAGACTTTAGCAAAGGAAAAGCAAATTCTCCAGAAAAAGTGAGATATCTAGCCCACCTTTCCAAATGACCCAAGGCCCAATGGTCCCATAAGACAAGTCATCAGCCATGACTACAACACAGTATTTTCTTCAATCTCCAAAAAATTCAAATAGATATGACATCTTCTACTTAGTCCAAGTTTTTAAAAAAAAATGTAGTTTGGATTTTTTTGTTGTTGTTTCAGTTGTTGAAGGTGAAGAGTTTTCTTCTATTAACTGGATCTAGAGCACAATACTTAGTAATCAAGATTTTAATGTTTTTCCCCAAAAATGTTTTCCTTCAAGTTAAGTATTTTTTATTTTGTCTTCTAATTAGGAATTTGCTTCTACAGTATTCTTCACTATGCCAAAATGCAGACTGGCATTTTAGGGAAGGGAAAGGAAACAAAAAGAAAACCCTAATCTTCAACCCCCCTTACACTGCCTAACACGGATGGTTCGATACAAATCCGTCCTCCAGAGGAAGATGACAAAATGACCGACTCTTACCACCGCACCTCCTACAGCTTCTCAACCCGAAGCCCGAAAGTATAAGGCATTCAAAAACGCCTATTCAACACTTCAGTCTTTCCTAACAAGTTGAGACATTCCGAAAGTGACTCCACCCCTCCGGAGCCCCCGCCGGCTCCCGCATCCACACTGTGTCTGGGGCCTGGATCGGATGAAAGGAGATCCAGTCGCTCGAGAAGACCCAGGATGGGGGCAAGATGAGCCACCCGCCTCCATCCCGCAGGGCAACAGACCTTCTATTCATCCCGCAAGGCTGTAGGTCCAGAGGCCTTTGCTACCCCATCCCGGGAAGCTCCGTTCCCAGCTACAGATCCGCGGGGACACGAGCCCCCGCCCCACCCCGCAGACAGACAGCCTGGCGTCGGGACACGGGGGACGCCTGCGCAGAAGAGCCCGTCTCCTAGCCGCCTGGCCCTCCGATCGGAAAGGTAACAATACCCTCTCGGAAAGACAGGAAGGGTAGGCGAGGGACATCAGTACGTGCCTGCGCGCCCTCAGACGCTTGGGCGCGCCCCCGGGGCTCAACCGATTCCGCGTGAGCGCGCCGCGCGCACCGCGCACCTCCAGGGCTGGAGCTGACAGGGTCGCCTCACCTGAGTTGGGCTCCGCCCCCTTTCTCCTCACTGGAGGAGGCGGTGACCCTTCTCCGAGCGGACCTGACACTGTCGGAGGAGGCGGGAACGTCCAGACTGGCGTCTCGGTGAATGGGGCGTCCTCTCCCTTCCGCCCGCCTTCCTCCCGCCCACCCCTCCTTTAGTCACCCGGCTCCTTCAGCCGGTTCGTCGAGGTTCTCTGTGAACGCGGCGACGGCGACCGGCAGTAAGCGGAAGTGACGCGATACGAGATCACCTAAACCCGCTTCAGTCCTCCGCCTCTCTAACTGGATTTTCACCAATCAGCAAAGGGGAGGGCGGGGCCTGAGCTGAATTGTGGCCAGCTGCGTACCGAACCTGAGGAATTTACTCGGCCCCCTAAAAAACTGACCAATCCACGGTCCCAGGAGCCTGGTTGTGTTTACTACCAACCCAATCCCTGAGCGCTCTGGCCAATCAGCGCTGGCCTTGCAATAGGTAACCTTGTTATCAAATGCTTTTTAAGGCGGGATTTATCATTAACTCAGAAAAGCAACTGCGGGCCACAGCCAATCAAAACCTAGTGTAGTTGAAGCCAGCGAGTTTTCCGCCTAGTTGAGTCAATCACCATCTGTACTGACGGGGCGAGCTGGTCCGGCCATTGGCTGGTACTGAAGTATTTCCCTACTGTCACGGCTTGGGCTCTTGGAATTGAGTTACTATCACCATCACCATGCACTCTCCGTGTCGGAGGTTGCTTTCAACTTTTAAACATTGGAAGAGATAAAATGAAATTCCAAGACACTGCTTTTGTTGAACTTAAGTCGAAATCCAGGCTTCAAATGCAGAATCAAAACGACACAATGAGGTGGGACCCCGCCCATGTCCAGTCGGAGTGGCGTGTGGCTATAATAGAAAAGCTGACCACGCTGGCATCCTGGCCGGGCAGGTCTCGAACCCCAAGTATGACTGGGCCCTGTCGTCTTTGCCGCGGGTCCTGTAAGCTTGTAGTCTACAGAGCCAAGCTTACGATCACCAGCCATCCAAGGAAAAGCAAAGTTGACTGCAAAAAGCATCGCAGCCGGGACACGGAGGTGCTGGGGTCCTACTTCTGTGGGGTCAGGACGGACAAGAGAAGGTCCAGAGCTGCACCCAGTGTTTGAGAGGATGAAGATCCTGAGCCTTGATAAAGGCCCGCTAGCACTGGTTAGGAAGAATCTCAGCTTCCTTCGAAGAAGGGACTGGAAAGCCCAGAAAATGGGGCCCTTCTGCGGGAGCAGTCCCAAAGCTAGGCTGGAAGACAAAGAAAAGCAGGCTCGCAAAGAGCGACCCGACCCTTGGTTGGGTGCACCGAGAGGCGATCAGGGGTGTGTCTCCAAAACTTAACATGCAATTTCATTTTAGCTCATTCTCTCCCGTCCAGCTGGAAATGTCCTCTTTGTGTTTATTCTCTTGGTGTCTCAATGAAGTCTGATGGTCAGTTCAGTTCTTTAACATTCCCTGACCATTTACAGCCTTTATGCATGTATTTTACAGCAGAGATTGGGCAATGAAATAAACATTATAGAATACTGGTCATCAACCAGGCACTATGAAATATTCTGTTGCACATATGATCCTTATAATAATTCTGTGACCTAAATATTAAGTCATTTACAAACTGTTGGTGTACTTTTTAAAAGTAATGTAGAGTAGTTTGTCAAATTTTAAAATGTGTAGGGGTGAGGAGAATGAGGCACGATTCCCAAGCTAACCTCATACAAAAGAAAATCAATACAACATATCTGCCAGGGCACCAGTGGTTTACACCTGTAATCCTAACTACTAAGGAGGCTGAGATCTGAGGATCACGGTTCAAAGCCAGCCCAGGGATGAATGTCTATGAGACTCATATCTCCAATAAACCACCAGAAAATCGGAAATGGTGCTGTGGCTCAAGTGGTAGAGCGCTAGCCTTAAGCTGAAGAGCTGAGGGACAGTGCCCAGGCCCAGAGTTCAAGCCCCAAGACAGAAAAAAAAAAAAAGAAAAAGGAAAAGAAAGTTTATTAAGACATCATATTATCAAGGGTTTAGATATAAAATAACCACACTCATTGCTAGTGGAAATAGAAATTGGTAGTCTATAGAAGGCAAATCGGGAATAGCTAATCAATGTAATCTGTTTGGCCCCATCAATGTGGTTTGAAGATTATTTAAAGCTGAAAACATCTCAATGTACTGCAGCCACAGAGGGAAAAAAATCATATAAAAACTTCTCTTGCTGATAGAATGGAAGAATCTGTAAAATATAGTCACCTTAAATCCGCTCACTGGTTTACAGCCAGAGAGAATTTTCTATACCTTCAGACTGAGCAAAGTGGCTTAGGTCTTAGTCCCAGATACTCGGGAAGGTGATATGGAGGATAGTCGGGGCTACATGGGAAGACTCTATCTCAAAACAAAAGGTTTTTTTCTTTTTTCCCTCAACTCAACCTCCTAATAATATCATCACATTGGAAGATGGGACTTCAACATATATAATCCCTATTCAACATCAAAATCCCTATTTTGATCAAGATTGTAATGGGATTCTTTCTCTTCTAATAATGACATGGGACACTAGATCTCCTTCTTTATAAATAGTGAGAGAAAGTGGTCATCTTCAATTCAAGGAGACACGGTCTTCATCTTGGATTTCCTAGCCTCCAAAACTATGAGAAGTAAATGTTAAACTTACCTACTCTATGGGTTTGTTTTATAGCAGACCCCTTGAAGCTAATACCATATATGCCACTCCCTCTTCTAAGACAACCACTGTAAATATTCAACAAAGATGTATATCTTATAATTCAATAGTGATATAAAATGCTACATTAATAATCCAATGAATCCAAAGGAATGCAAGGGGAAAAGGAGTAACAATTATAACAAAAATAATAGAACAAATTCAAAATAGTAACTAGATGATAGATATAAACTCAACCTTGCAGATAATTGCATTAAATGTAAACGTGGAAAACACCAGTGGTTCACACCTGTAATACTAGGGACTCAAGAGGCTGAGATCTGAGAATGTAAGTCAACCCATCTTTAGTAGAAAAGTCTGAGCTTCTACCTCCAATTAACCAACAAAATGCCAGACAGAAGACATGGATAAAATGGTAGAGTATCGGCTATGAGCAAGAAAGCCAAGTGAGAGCTTACGGTCAGGTTTAAACTTTAAAAAAAAAAAAGCAAGCAAAGGCAAATAATAAAACATGAGAAAATGTGTACCATATAAATATCAACAACAAAAAGTGCATTAATAATGGATAAAACGGGCTTCAAGACAAGTTATATATCACAAGCAGTAAAGAAGGATTGGGGGGAGGCATGGTTCAGTTGGGAAATTGCTGGCATATCAAAAACAAACCCTTGAGTTCAAACCTCAATACTGAAAAACAAAAAAAGAAGTAAAAGCAGACATTTTTAATGATCAAAAGTTTAATTCATCAAGAAAAAATAATGTGCCTAAATGAAAACCATACCCTTAGGAACAAAGATTCTAAACACAGAAAGCCACTGGAAATGACAAAAGTAAAAAGACAAATCCTAGGAACTTCACATTGTCTACCTATCCTCGAGTATATTTTCATCTTCATTTTTTTGTATTTCTTGCAAATTTCTGAGAGCAAGGATTTTGGTTGTTTTTTTGTTAAGTTTTTTATGGTGCTAGGTCTCAAACCCAGAGCCTCATACATGGTAGGAGAGTGATCTAACCCTGAGCTATGACGCCAGCTGAGAATTGTATATTTTTATCTTACCTTATAACTTATCTTCTTGTGCCTTGCACAAGATTAAAAGATAGAATGAGAAGTTAAAAAGTTGAAACAAGCCTGGCACCAGTGCCCAGCTGAGTTTTGAGGATCCTGGTTTGAAGCTAGTTAGGCCAGGAAAGTATGTGAGATTCTTATCTCCCATTAAGTCACCAAAAAGCCAGTAGCACAACCGTGACTCAAGTGTTATAGCACCAGCCTTAAGTGAAAAGCTTACAGACAGTCCTTGGGCCTGAGTTCAAGCCTATTACTGGCAAGTCACAAAAATAATTATAAAGAGATTTCAATTTAATCTATCAATGTATAGGTACAATGCATTTGATCAGTGTTATCATTTCCCTCATACACCGCCCCCCCAATCTATCCCAGACTTACCCACACATTTTTGTATATATATATATTGAGTACTATGATTTTATTGGCCCATAATTTGATTTCCCTTCATCCACCCCCCTCTTCTTAAGTCCCATCCTCCTCAGACAAAACATATTTCAGCTTCCTGATATTCATTTTGTTAAACTATCAGTTAATTGTTTAAAGAAGTAACATCATAGGACTGTAATCAGTTTGATTATGTAATATGCATATGGTCTTGCATATATTTTCATACACATTTATATTTTCAGATCTATTACTTTATTTTGCATTGGTACTGGAGCTTGAACTCAGGGCCTATGTGCTGTCATTTAGGTCATTTGCCCAAGGCTAACGTTCTGTGACTTGAGTCCCAGCTCCAATTTCTGGAGTTTTAATAGTTAATTGGAGATTGGAATCTCATGGACTTTTCTGCCTAATCTGACTGTGAACTGCAGTCCTCAGATATTAGCATTCTGAATAGCTAAGATTATAGGCAAGAGTCATCAGCAACTAGCTAACCTGATATTTTAAATTTTAACAGGTCTGTATGCCTCCATCAGAAAGAATGACACTGTCTCATTTGTTAGGAAATGGAAAGACTCAGAAAAATTATATTAAGTGAAGTAAGCCAGACCCAAAGAAACATAGGTCCCATTGTTTCCCTTATTTGTAATAACTAATATATGTCTGGGATAATCTTACCAGACAAGCAGAAAAGGTCAAAAGCTATGGATATATGACCATATAAGATGATGCTAAGTAAAATGAACCCCAAGATAGGGACACAAAAGGTTTGTTCTTTGTTGGTCTTGTTTTTAATGTTTCTTTTGTTTGTTCCTCCCTCATGGTATAACCCCTAT